CGTCGCATTGTTATTATTGAGTTTCTCGATATTCGCCGATAAAGCAACCCAAAAAATCGAGAATATTCTCATAATGAATCATAATGAACCATGATGATGATTGATGATGATATCAATGATGCTGAAACTTATGGGAAGCATGCGCAATAGAAACAAAAGCACCTTGACCTTCACCATTAAATACACCACAATCACCACCTCCGCCGCCGCCGCAATCCATCACCGCCACCACAACCACCAGCAGCAGCAGCAACAGCAAACAACAGCAGCAACAATAACAACAGAAACAACATCGACCACGGTGGTGACAATGGTGACAATATGCGTTTGCAAGCGATTGTATATTCTCATATTCACACAACATCAAACATTAGGATGCTTGCTGGTTGATCTTGCATGCCGACTGCTATCCTGAAAATGTATGCAGGCATGATTGCATCGCATGGTGACATGAAGATCGAATTGTGTTCTATGATTGTGATAGAATGGAGTTCGACACATATTGACATGCGAATCACCAAAGCGCACATGGACATTCTTTTCCTGATCACGTGGGGAACAGCTCATCCAAGCTACACGATTCCAGCTTCATGGAATCACTCCGCTCCTCTTCCCGTGCAAGCATGGGTTCCACAAAGCCACGCGGGTACACGTTGTATTGATGTTAAGGCATTAAGGCACTTAGCGTTGGAGTCTTTGGAGATAGCGCGGCTTTGTGCTCTCCTCCAGAATCCGTATGTCAGCAAAATGCCGTGTCTGACTGTCTGCTGTGGCCCAATTTCCAAATCCTGAGAAATTCCAGGCTCAAACAAACACAAGGCTCAAAATTGGACTGGACTTAGCACTTAATCCATGAATTCATCAAGTGCGTTGCTCGCTTGCAACACGCGGACCGCAGACTTGCTAGCACAAGCTTCAGACCAAATTAAAGCTCAGCGAATTAGATGGCGTGCCGCGGGGTCGACCCGCATTTTCTTGCTGGGAGACAATGCATCAAGATTCTTGCCACGTTTGCGGCGATTGGAAGGGTCTGCAAGTGCAGACCCATTCGGAGCCAAACCAAACTCTGCAAGTGCGTCATCACCTAATGGCCAAGACTCTTCACCAGCCGCATGCGCGTGCCCTGGATACGGTCGCTTGAGAGTCTTCTTCGCCTTCCATTCCTCTGCCAGCCTCATAGCAGCAGTGAGTAGCAACTCACGTGACATGACACATGTTTATGCATCGACTGCATCGACCTATGAAGTTACGACATCAATACAAGAACATTCTTGGGCGTAGGCAGATGAGAGCGCATCAGAAGAGCAAAAGCTGAGCCCTTGATCACTTTCACAAGCACAGGCGTCGAACGTGCAGGGTCCAAGTCATCATCACCGTCATGCAATGGCATGCCTAAGTATGTCATGTCATACTGAAGCATCTTGCCCTTGAATGTGAAGCTGTGCGTGGACTCCCGAACTGACAGGATCGGATAGCGTAGATCGGTTGGTGGAACCATCCAAGCCGGGCACACCAGCGATCCATCCACTTTGTTTACATTGTGGCCACTCACATAGAACTTCAGCTCATGTTCGTACGTGGACTCTTCGTCATTTGGATCTGAAAGCATGATCATCGACAAAGGTGATGTACTTTCTTTCTCGGAAACTAGCACCGGAGTTGTCAGCATTACCCTGGGCGCCTTCTGCAACACAGGAGCGTCACTGCCTGAGTGACACATTGCAAGAGATCTTCCAACTTCATGCTAGAATATGTGTCACACAACATGTATGTGTTGCAATGCTCCGACAAGGCACTGATATCACCCCAGAAATGACAACGAAATTTTGCCCGGAACTCTTTGGTAGTCAACTCGCTAAGCATTGCTCGCACAGGTTCACTCTTAGCTGTATCACCTGAGGAAGCATCTCGAATGATTTCGTTGACACGCGGACCTGGCGGAAGCAGCAGCAATGTTTCGGTGTTTGCAACACTTTTGTCACCTTTCTCAGAAGTTGTGCAATGAAACCAAACGATGTCGCTGCAACCATTCGCATCTTCGTAGTTCCTGTCCACTGGGTGCAGCGCACAACAAAGAGCATACCAAAAATCGAAACAAAACATGGCTGTGCATAAATCCTCATACAATCTTGCTTGAATGTACACGAACCCTTCTTGTACCTGGAACATTCAGCAATCACACGCTCCTTGCAGTCGTCATCATGTCTGAGGCCAAAGACAAACGAAGGTCATGCATTGCTTCTGTGGACTTCAGCAAGTCACCGATGCCTTGGGAATCGCCGTCATTGGTCGCCGGCACATCAAGCTTGCTCAGCTGCTTCTGTGAAATCAATCTGCTGCAGTCATCTGCAGCACCGCTGCGTGCTGACTTGCTCAGCTGTGTGTCCACCTTGTTCTGCGGTGCGCTGGCACTGGATGCCCCTCCAGAGGCACCCGGCTGCTGCGCAACATCCGCAATGTCAGACAATGCAACAGATCCATTCTTCACGATCTGCATGAATGAAACACCATAGCCTGCGCTCAGTGTGTCACATTCAGCAATGCCACACAAATTGTCCATCTTGGCCAAAACGATATCACTATCTTTCACCCATCGTCGCAGTTGGTCATCTGCAACCTCGAGACGGCCCGAGAGCGCATGAAGACAAGCCTCTGTGATGTAGACTTTCCGTAACACAGATAGGCCCGCAATCGCTTTGCAACTGAAAGCCTTCTGCACGAATTCTTGCTGATCATGCTCCCGCAATGCTGGATGCACTTCTCCCCAAGTCGTGTAGGTATAATCCGCGAGGATTTGTCCTGTTGCAACGACTGCAGCAGGCACTTCTGCGCATACCAGATTGCAAATCCCGAACACGACGTCCATGATGTCCGCCCGGGGTTGGTGAACAATGCAACAATCGCTATTTGTCCTGCACAAATAATCATCAAATGCTTCTGCTACAGGGCGCCACAATTGCTTGGTGACAATGTGCCAGCACTCGGCGCAAAAATATCGATTAGTTATGGTTTGAAATAAGCACATGCCCTGATGTAGAAGGTATTGCATGCAAACTTTAGCAACATCGAGTCCTCTGTTCGCCACAGCTGCACATTGTCTGCCAGCTCGCAAGGATCTTGGAGAAGGTCATGTGCTTGGTCGCATCATCTTCCAATGGGCTGGCTGCCTTCGTAGCTGCCTGCTCTGCTTGAACCCATGCAAACAATGAAGGAAGTAGTGGTTCAAGTACCTTGGATTTCCTCGCTTCCACAATGGCTGACATCTCACTTTTTGATGACTCCACTGAGGTCGAAGATGCCGGTTGCACCAAGGTAGCTGACAAACTTGCGATAAGTTGCGCGTCTGAGTTCTTACCGCCCGCACTTGTCACCACTGTTCGTTGAGCGATCATCTCCTGCCAGACGACATGTTGAAATCTTTGCACATGTTTAACCGGACTACAGCCAAAAATCACAATTACCGCTCGACCGTTTCGACATTATAACACTCTAGACTCTAGCCGCCTTCTCGTACGACTGCATCAAATGAGCTTGCAGTGCTGGGCGGAACGAAGACCACTTCTTGTGGACCTTCTTCATCAGCATTGTTTCTCCACTGTTGGCGAAGACTAGCCCCCGTCGAACGACATCCATCAACAGCACAAGTTCCATGTCTGTGTAAACCAAATGACCGCAGTCTAGTTCGGCTGATTGGACGGCTTCCGGGATTGCTACTGCAAGTCTCTGTCGCGCTGCTCGCACAGCACTGCGAGCACACATGACCAGGCAGTCAATGAAGTACTTCTCACGAGTAAGCAAAGTACCGCCCAAACTCAGCACATGGATCTCCCTTTCTGTTTTGCCTTTGTCGTCTTCCACCTCGCCTGCAGCTGTGCTTTTAGACGATGCCTTTGCTTTTGATTTTGCTTTTGCCTTTGACACCTTTTTTGGTGGTTTGCGCTCATCTCCTGCAAGGAGTTTGGAGGGGTCCTTCGAATTCTTCTTGGCATCCTTCTGTTCCTTCAATTTGGCCTGGATCTCGAACACACGTCCAGACACGGGCGTCATCCAACGTGCAACATCTGAAGTTGCCGTTGCAGGCTTCTTGTACAGCCATTGTGCATTCGTCGCATTCAGTGGTATCTCAGTCAGTCAGGATACATTGAACAAATCAATGTGTCAATGTGTGAACCTTCCAAGAACATAATTATTAAATGATTCATGTTTTCCGTGCAAGCAAGTTTCACAAGCGGAAACAGCCTCAATGACAATGATGCGCTGCTCTTGGTCGGTCATTGCATTGAAAAACATATTGCATCCTGCAAGAATTTCTTTCATCGTCAGGATTGTGTTCTCGTGGGACAGCTCTGCGTGCAAAAAGTCGCAATCACGCTGAGCAATTGTCTTGACATCTTGCAAACACTTGAAGCGGGTCAAAGTATTGTAAACCACTCTCGTGGATTCGAAATGTCTGTAGCTGCTCCATATCTCGGGCCATTGGCTCTGGATGAACTCACGATACTTGACTTCGTAGTCTGAGCTACGCGCAGTCAGGCCGTGCTGCAGTTTGTAATGTCCAAATGCCTTTTCGACCTCAGCGTGCCAATACGAACCACTACTCAATGACATTACAAAATAACATTTTCAAGCAGGTCTGATCGAAGCAACTGCAGGTACACGACAGCAAATATTGAGCTCTCTTGACGCCGTGCAAATACTACGCAAGCTTGTAGCCAAGGAACGTCAGGAACCTTGAGTAACATCTCCAACCACGAAGTCTTGGAGCCGCGATGGAACTGGTTATGATATGTAATCCTGAACGTGCTTTGCATGCGCATCTGCTCACTGTCAATCAAAGAACTCAACATTGCTCGTAGACTCATCGTGTTTTGCAGACAAGACACAAAAATTCCAGTACTGAAGGCGGTGTTCGACAATCGAACACAACAGCATCAAGTCCAGCTTTGCACGTAAGCTTGAGATTGGGATGACTGTCGCGGTCAGGCTTCGCCCATGCTTCGTAAAATGCCTCAGACCTGAGATGTACATTGCTGCGTTCGTGCACTACGCGTTAGCAGCTCTTATTAAACCATGTGTTTCAGCCAAGACACAAAGTGCCGCATGTTAAGGCGTTGAAGTGTACTTCGTTCTTGTCGGTGTTCGGCGCGGTAAGCCATGCCTCTCCCCTCACTCCTTTGATGATGCCTCTGGTCTGCACAGACTTCACGTACTCATTGAGCACTTGGTCTTGCCGCCTGCTATTCAACGCATGTCTGACTATCTGGCGTTGCGACTCATTCCCATCGATGAAGAATTGCACATTCCGGATGCTCGGCACCTGCCAATGATTGCTGCTGATGCTGCTGCTATTGATTTATGTTCACACGCCACAAGACGTCACATGGCACATGTCACACAAATGAAAGCATCTGTCGCGAAATGCCTTGTACCTCTTGATGATTTCATCAAGAAGCGCACGGCCGGGTTGCACTCCAGCTCCAAATATGTCAGTCAACGAAGCCTCCTCAGAGTAGAGACATGCCTGATTCACTTGAAGGAGCTGAGGACCAGCGGTGGAGCCACCCCCATTGCCACTTTTCTCGCCCGCTGCCGATACCGCCGACATGAATGTAGGCAGCGTCAATGAAGGTATTCCTTGACTCCTACCCCGGCAAATCTAGCTAGAAAAGCAATGCGCTTGTGGTGCCGCAGATTGCTCCACAAGGGTTGCTCGAGCAGTCGTCATCAAACATGGATATACGTCACCAACACATACCCTTGCGCACACAGAACTCAAGCACGGTTGTGTGGGAGCAATGCACAAGCATAACTGATCTGCATGGAACTGGGAACGCCTGTGTGACGTTTGATTTGCAATGAATGTTTTCACCGACACAAACTCCCAGCTGCAAGGAACTCCCAACGCAAGTTGCATGTTGGCCCGCTGCTTGCCAGCGTCCAATAATGCAAACGAATTACCATAATCACCTACGCTTTACATCGGCTTCAAGACATACGGTCGTCTTGACGCATTGCACTCTCAGCGTGCTTCACAGTAATGAAATGCGTCGTGTGCAAAAATAGCTGCACATGGGAAAGCTCAACTGCGAAACCACAATGACACGGTTTTGCCAAACAAAAAGCAACACCAACTGCTTGTCAATCTTTCCAGCTGGCAGCCAACAATGTGGCGGCATGCTTTCTTCTGAAAGTACGGTTTGGCATGGTTTGGCAAAAGCTGTGTGGTAAAAAGATTCATTGCTTCCTGATTACCAAGTTCGGATCGAGCCGGCAACGTTGCATGAGGCGTGCAAAGCGGATCATCTCCAAATCGATCTCCACTTGTGTCCAAGCGAATAATAGGACTGCAGCACAAACATGAACGTGCATCGAATTACCAAACATTTTGCACACTGCGCCCCGGGCTGGCCAGTCGTTGCCAGACTCCCTATAAGCGAACGAGCAGCAAGGCACATTGTGCGAGAAAGCACGTGTTACCGGAAATCCTTGCAGAAGAGCAAGTTCTCTCATCGACAGCCACCTGCGTCTCGGCTGTGAGTACAGCAAGCAAGCAGAAGAAATCAAAGTTGGCATGACCTGAGCAAGTTCAACACTAATTTCAAATGCCAGCACTACATTCGAACGCTGCAAGCGCTCAAGACGCAGAACTTATTGGTGATGACTCATGACACAAATCAAACATCAAACATCAGCACATTCCATTGCTGTTGGACCATCAATCCAGGCCTGCGTGTCCGATGCCACGTACAACACATCCGGGTTCTGGTTCAAAGAGCAAATGCCACCGCTACACTTCTGCTCGTATCCTCGGAGAAAATCCAGTTCGGACTTCGTCAAACAGGACTCGAAAGCGGTCTCATCCGCAATGCTTGGAGTTGACGCTGAATCTTTTGCGGTTTGACTCCACAAGCTGGCTGGCCTCTTTGACGCCCAATCCAGCTCGCGCTGTAACTCAGATTCATCCTGCCTTAAGTATGCTATGTGCATAAGATCAATTATCATTATCATTGGTTCTGACAACGACCACAACCACACAAGTCAGCGCATGCAAACCAATACAATCTTGGACAATTGGACATAGATACTCCCAGAAAAACATGTCCCAGGAAGCTTCCGCTGCCATAGACCGATTGAACAGAGCCGTAAATGATGTCATCAACGAGCGAAACCCCAGCGTCTTTGTACGGTGGCGCCCCCTTGGCTAGCATTTATGCGAAGACTGCACAAGTCAACATGCAGCGCTGTCAGTGCTTCTTATACCGTGTGTCACCACAAGCAAACTAAGCCCTCAACACTGCCCATTGTCTATCCCTTCGGATAGGCCAGCCGTACAAATCTGGCTGGACAACCCCAAACGTCCACTCGTACTCTGGGAGGAGTTCCATCAGCACGGACCGGGGAAAATTACACACATTTTCTTGCACAAGCACCGGTTCCTGTAGTTGTTTGCGGTGGGCAGCCCATATCAGTAGGTGCGCAAACGTGCCACCGTGCTCGGCATCGCACTTGCCTATGGCACTGTAATCTGTGCAAGACGTTCCTGCGCAATGCAGGCTGGCGACCCTTAAATCGCACGTCTTGCAATGATTCAAGCACCATCCAGTCCTTAGGCTCACGCGCATGCATGCTTGTAAATGCACGCATTCATGTATTCTGTAATTATGTATGAACTGGCAACATAAAAGTCAGAATCTGACAGGTTCAACCCAATAGCGTGGATACAGAGCCTTTGGCATTCTCCAAAACAACTTGCTGCAGCACATTGCGCAGCTTGTCCGTTTCAATCAGCTCGGGAAGCAGTTCTCGCAAATGTGGAGAAAGAAAATCTTCCAGATTGCTGAACAAGCATTGTGCTTTCCGGGGGTGCATCTGTAGCTCATGCTGACAGTGGTGGTTCCATTCTATGGCGTACACATGCTCCGGATGCTGCGCCGATATTTTCAGATCTGCTTCAGCATACGCAAGAAGACTTGCCACTGATGTCCCAGGAGCATCTATGCCGCTGTAGGCAGTGCTCATTGACATGGCCCCAATTTTCTGGAACAAGCCATACAAGGATTTGGCAACACCAACATCAATGCCAAGCCGATTTGCAATACTGCTAACATGTGCGTCAGCATCTTCCACAAGTGCAGCCAAGCTATCATTGAAATATTGGCCCTTGCCCCGGCCAACATACTTTTTGATCAAACTTGACTGCCAACCTGTGCAACATCACTCATGAGTGTTCAATTTCGATCACACCAAACCAACGCTCAATGCTGCAGCCGTGTCACGGAAAGCGTCATCCAAGTTCTCCACAATCTCGGAATCGGAATCATCGGAATCATCATCAAGATCGGCAGCATGCTGATGCTGAGCACGCTCATTCTGTTCCATGTCCTTGCCCACACCACACATTGCCACATTGCATTGAACCCACTTAAAATGACTCGTCACGCCGCCCGCCACGAAAACATGATACACTGCCACATATCGTGTTGTGCCTACCGCTGCATGCATTCTGTTCAATTTAAGCAAGTCTGATTTCGGTATAAACATTGAACATGGACAAGTGGACTCCACAAACTGTACACTGTACACTCATGCGCGACAAGTTTCTGTATCGTGTAAGTCTTCAAGCTGTGTAGCATCAGAGCCCTGCGGATGAGGCTTCGGAACCGTGCAGTGCCTCAACGGAACCACACACTCATCATCAGCTGAAACATTCCCAAAACACATGTGACAACTGTGACAACTTACTGCACGCTGTGTGCCAGCTTGAACCCCTACTTTGCGTGCCTGACTTCTGATGGTAGGCATGCTTCGTCAGCAGGAACTACATTCTCTTTGTCGATTGTCTCAACCAATCCATGATTCGCTGAATCATGCTGCGGTAACTGTGGCACAGCTTCTTCTTCCACCTTTTCTGGACAATGGCGCTTGGGCGCTGGCTCTGCAGAATCACCAATCGTAGCATCACTCGTTGATACGTTCTGGGATTCCGCCAAACACTGCGAAGGCGATCGGCTCGCCACACCTGCGTTCTTCACTTCATGTGATTGCTC